GTCTCTTTTGAATGGTGTGCAAATGTGGTTTATCTCTATGTGTCTACTGATGGCTGATTGTCTGAATGCCAGTCTTCCAGGAATGCCAGTGTTTTTGGATTTAGCTTGGTCTAGGATGCTCAGTTTCCCAGCTGAAACTATGGTTGAGTCTGTCCATGCATTGTGAGATTCAGGAGTTTTTATTGCGTCTTCTGACTGCTAGTTGGTGTCCATGGATGCGCTCTGCTAGCCTTCTGCCTGTCTGTCCTGCATAATGGCTGTTACAGTCCTTACACTGTATGTTGCAGAAGTCTCCTGTTTTTTCTTCTTGGACTACTGGGTCTTTTGGTTTACTTAAGATGTTTTGGAGGGCTTTAGTTGGTTTGTGTGCTACAGTGATGCCGTGTGGTTGCAATAGTCTGTTGGTAGTTTCTGAGATGTTTTTGATGCATGGCAGTGTTGTCCTTTTCATAGCTTGTGTTGGTTGTGTTACAGTGGGTGGAGTGGTCAGGCACTTTTTGATAAAGTGAGTATCCATTTTGTTGGAAGTTGTTATATAGGGGGTCTATTTCCTTTTTCTGGGTTGCTGCAGCGCGTATTTGTCTGAATAACATCCTTATACAATTCCTCTTGAGCAAGGCTGGGTTGTTACTTTGGTAATGGAGCACTTAACGTGGATTGCTTTTAGATAGACTTGCATTTCTAATTTTTCTAATTTGCAGTTGTTTCTTTTACCGATGATATCCAGAAAGGGTAGTGTGTGGTTTTCTTCTTCCCTTTTTATTCCTTCGAAGACGTTGTTTCACGTGTCTTGTCTAGTTGTTCCTTTTTTATGACGACGAAGGTGTCATTACATACCAGATCTATACTTTTGGTTGTATATGTGTGAGAGTGCTAGTTTCTAGGTGCTGCCCACAGCAGTCCAATCTAACACAAGATGTAATTTTTTCTAGCATGTAACAATCACTGAATGGATATTCAATCTCCCAGATGTCTCTAACTCTGGTATTTTTCAGCCCTAGCAGATGTAGCCAGTGGGAAAGTAGGTATCCTAGGAGTTGTAATCCAGTAACTAGGTATCAGAGTAAAAAACCAGATGTTACCCATCTTATTTTCAGAATCACTTATTTTCAAGATATTTCTGGATGTTTTTATACAAGCACTCCCTCTAGCTAAATCTCAAGCAAGTACCTAGAAACTCATAGTACATACATATTTGGAACTGACCTGCCATGCATTTGCAAAAATTGTCATGAACTTCCTTGAATAATTTATGGATTGAATAAATTTAATTCCTTCAAAATTAATGCAGAATTACCTCATTGTCAATTTTTGTTACATTGTGTGACAGCTAAAAGATGTTTTCAATGTAGTGAGACCAACATCATCGGTTGTCAAAGAATATGTTTAATAAAAAATAATTAAACTTCCATTTGCTCTATAGAACATCATAGAAAGTAATTCAATAAATTACAAATAACTTTTAAGACGCTTGTTCAACTACAAGAAAGCAAATTCAGACTACACAGAACACAACTGGCAAATATTGCAAAATGTTCAAGAAAAAAAAAAACAGGACTAAGACGGATCATGAAGCCTGAAACAAGGAATAGGAATACAAGGTAATAACAACTAAAGTTATTTTAGTCACTACCAACATACACTTCTTCACCATCCTGGATATTTGTACTGAAATTTCAGTATTAATGTAATTCTAATGAAGATTCTTACAATTCTTTATTCAGCCACACTTGCATATTGTTTAGCTGACAGAGTACATATTTCTCATTTTTCAACTGATACTGATTTAAAAACAATCTTTACTTCATATTCAAATCTGTATCAGCCATACTGCTGAAACTGTAAAATTGCCTTATTATAGATAAAGATCACTAGAATGGTAAGCAAATTCACTTCACCATAATTAGGAAAATACTTTATTTCATAAATTTATTAAAAATTATGCTTAGGGTTTCTTTTGGGGGAGGTATGTTGGGGGATGGTACAAAGTGGTATTGTTGAAATACTCATTGACTAAGTCAACAATTGTGTTTGGAAAACTTTGGCTATATTGTGGATACATACAAGAAACAAAAGTGCTATATTACAAAGGGCAAAATATTAAATATGTAGTATTCATGATGAAAAATTGCTACCCCTTTCCTTGTGACATGTTTTGACTATTGCTAAGACACTGTATGAAGGACCAAACAAGTCATACTATTCTGAGGGGAAATACAATAACCAGCACAATTCAAATGATACTTTTATAACTGTGTAAATTACATGTAATACTGCCTTCTAGCCAAGGGAGTTACAATTTTGCATGTACAAATTTTATTTTTATTGATAAAGATTTGGTTAAAAAAAAACAACAACACAGTCTTGTTTACTGTACAAGCAAGCAAACAGAACCATATCAAAATACAGCTTTTGTTAAATTATTCCCTTTTGAAGAGGTTTGTCATTGACTACTGCCAGTACTTTTTATCCATTCCATCAACGTTTTGCCTATTTTGGACCTCAAATGAGATTAACACAATCTCACACTTAATCTCAGTCAGTTCCACCATGTGGTGTGAATCTATGATTCTACCATGTCAGAGTAATAGCAGCTTCAGCAAAAAAATAAAATAAAATAAATCCTACCACACTTCAAATGTTAAGATTAATTCTATGCAGTAAGGTTCTAAGGATTTATATTCAAACAGGTGCTTTTAAGCACTGTTTATATCATGGTTTCATGGTATACTTTTCTCACATTATTAAAAGTGCTTTAAGTTACAGGGCAACTCAGCATTATTACAATTAACCAATATACCCTAAACCTTGATTTTTGAGGGATATATATATATATATATATATA